CAGACATAGCTGGTCATATGCATTTGACTTTGCGGAAAATTTCATTTCACCATGCAACCACCATAAATAACTGAGAGAAAACAATTGAGACGAAAAAGAGAGCATGGGATTGAGTGGTCACTGTGAACATAGGTGTTAAAAGTGGAAGACACTTTTGAACAATATCAGTGTCTCTAGGATTGACTTGTTCTTTTATTTTTGCTGGCAGCTGTTGCTATAGTCTGAGAAACCCTTGTTTTTGCTTTGATGGAGGACCTTTATTTAACTTAAAGAAAAATAGATCCTATAATACACACATTTTTGTGATCTATGATATCCTCAGGCAAAGATTTTATGGAGACAGGATGAGTGCTGCTGGAGTGTTGTATCTGGGGCAGCAGTCCAATGAGAAAATAGCTCGTGTAGCTGTCGTAATGAAAAGTTATATTACTGTAACTGTTCTGCTGGAAATCAGAGATTTGCCTGATAGTTTTTTTTTCTGATGGGAAATAAAATTCAGTGGCTCGTGTTGTAACAGGGAGCTACAGTGTGGGCCGCAACATTGAATCAGTTTTAATCTTAAAGGAGTGCGTGCACTGGATCCAAGTGCCGCTGAAATCAAGGCAGAGATCTCCACAGGCTTTAGATGAGGTTCTTTGGAAAGTCTAGGGACTCGGCATGCAAGTACAAATAAAAAAGATGATTCAGTCATAGCTAGTATGACAGTTCCTATTTATTACTCCACTTTTATAAGGAAAATTGGTTAATCCTGGGAACAAATGTAAGGGGAAAATGTCAAGTTTTTTAGTCAAAACATCCACATCCTTGTGGATGAAAAATAAAAAGTTCATCCAATTCTAGTTTTAGCCAAATGGCAATTCTTTAGCCTGAAAGTGGACTGTTGGATTGCCTCATACATACACATCTATATACACGTACATAAATACACAGAGACATGTATATATCTTGTACATATAGGTCTATACAGCAATTCTCCTTCACCCAAAGAGCAGAAGATTTTAATCTTGTAAATTACAAAACTGATAAGCACGGTACTGGATCCTCTAATAATTTTTTCTGTCTGATGATTTCTGCCTGTGCAAATGGCATGATAGGGAAACTGGCTTTGCATAAAGAAATAAGATTTCTCCAGAGTAAAAGCAGAACAAAGTCAGTTGTGATTGTTGTGATGCTCTGGGTTCTGTCCTTGGTCTGGGTGATAAGAAAAACAGTAGGCTGCAAAGATCATTCAGTTTTCAGTCCAGTAAAGGTTTCGGTCTGTAAATCAAATGCTGTAATGCTGCAATTTATAGCTTGGTATTTAGGTTATTATTGTTCTGTTTGTTCATTCTGTTTTGTAGCTGTTTCCTTGGCTCTAGCACTGAACGGCGTCTGCACAAATACTATCAAATTAATAGTGGGAAGGTAAGTCTTGTCATGTTATAAATAATAGCTTTAACTGTTATGAGAAATGAAGACAGATTGACAAATACAATACATCTTAATAAAAAGTAGCTGCTGCTCCAGAGCACATTGAATTAGAATGGGGCCCCGTGAAGCTGTCCTTTCCTTGGTGCAGGTGTTGTGCAACTTCATTATGTGACATCCAGCTGTGGTAGGAGTCTATGCCCTTGTGTCTTGTTATTTGTTTGACTGGTTGGCAGATCCAGACAAACAAGGAGTTTGAAAGAAAAGGTTTGAGCTGAGATCAGTTCATTAAATTGGCAACACATAAAGGAAGAGTCACAGCATGTGGGAGTTCAGATGCCAGTGCCACTAGTCTGATTAAATAGGAATCAACTGAGTCTCTATATAACCTAGTGCCTGCATTTTGTGGGCAGTGTGTTACCGAATGTGATATTTCCAGGTAACATCAAGCTCCATGGCAGAACAAGCCTTGGAGCTAAGCAATAAGTGGACTCCTAGGTAGACTATTTTTCAGGAAAGCGTAAATTTGAATGAAGGGCTCAGAAAAATGCTAGCAAACAAAATTCACTGGTAAATAAATTTTTTTAGGTATATTTGGCTCTTTATCAAAATTTTGAATAATTTCAGCTGAAAAATTTATATTTGACTTGAATTCATACACTGTTTAATAGAGTCCAATGCTGCGTTGTTTGTTCACCTGTTTTGCAGCATTGAGGAAGCGGTCTTTGCGCTTGGTTTCTGATGAACCCTCTCTGCTAGTACTGATGCCCTGACAATAATGGTACTTGGCACTTGTATTTTAAAAGTGCTTTTGAAATGTAATTAAGAATGTCTGCTCCACCTTCTTCAGGCAGACATGAGCTCATTTTGCCTGCACTCCAAGTCAGCTAGTTGCTCTGCCAGCTTGTCTCTGAATCTGTGGTCGTTCACTCTGCTTCTCTACATGGTTTATTAGCTCAGGATCAGTACGACACCAGTCAAACCCACGTGCTATCCTTCAGCTCAGTGCTGGGTCAAAGGAAACTCGGAGTTTTGTTCCATACACTTAGAGAGTCAGCATCAAGGCTGGCATTAGAATTTGGTGGTTGTTCTTGTGCCAGTCTTGTAGCCCAAGTTGTAGTCCTGTTCTCAGCTAGATGTATCAGCAAGACTTGAGCAGCTTTGTGGGGTTGCTACGCTACTTTGCGCTGTCACTGGAAGTGCTGTGCAGGATTGATTGCTCTAGGCAAGAGTAACACTGCACCTTTGTTTTCAGAGACAACTCCTGCTTGCATGTCTTCTCACTGGAAGCTTCCCTGAGAGAGCCTGGCTGCAAAATAAAGTGACCTTGAGGGGGAAGGTTTAGTGGTGGCCTTGGCAGTGTTAGGTTTACTGTTGGACATTATGGTCGTAAAGGTCTTTTCCAGCCGAAATGATTCTGTGATTTCGGTTGCTGCCTTAAGGCAGGAGGGAATGAACTCTGTATGCAATAAACAGTAAATGTAATAATCACTTTGAGGTTTATTTGTTACTACAGCTTTTATATTTTTAATATCCATGGTGTTTTTTGTAGACCGCGTCCCGATTTCTTTTACCGCTGCTTTCCAGATGGAGTAATGAACTCTGAAATGCACTGCACAGGTGATCCAGATCTGGTGTCTGAAGGCAGAAAAAGCTTTCCGAGTATCCACTCTTCCTGTAAGTTCATTTAAATGCAGTGCTTCTTTTGTAAAAAGCTGTTGTAGCTATGTTTTGGAATTGCTCTTTTTTTTGTTAGATCGTGAACCTGATTTTTGCTGGAGGGACCTGGACTGCTGCCTTAGGTCACTACTCCCACAAATTTCCTTCTGGAAATAAAGTTGTGAGCCTGTGACACTTCTTTACCTTGAGAACCACCTGACTTCACCGAGAGCCATAGCAGGACAATCAGTAGAGTGGAGCACTACTCAAGATTAAAGAAAACGATGTGGTTCTGAGGGGCTATTTGTTCCCTAATGCAGACCTCTGTATCCAACCTTTGTCTGCAGATAGTAAATATTTATTTTGTTATATTCCATTGAAACATGAAATGTGACAGGGCATGTTTGTCGTGCATAGTTTTGACAAGATCTAGTTAATATCTTTAAAGTACAAGGTCTGTTAAACCAAAGTTCAAGTCACAAAGACAGTTCAACTATTATCTTTAAGGTTTCATTAAAAAACCCTGTCCGTCCATTAGTGAGGTGCTTTTCGTCATGGGAAGTTGTGTGCTTGAACTGAAAACAGCGGTGGTCAGTCTCGCCCCTGCTGTAATTTAGGTAATCGGGCCCTGGGGCAAGGCACCGTGTGGCTGGTGGTAAAATATGCGTTGTAAATGAGAGGAGAGATAAGATTATGAAACCCCATGCGTGGTGGTTGTCAGATTACTTTATTCCTTCTTACTGAGGGCTTTGGGTACACCAATAAAGTTTGGATTATGAACACTCAGTCATCGGTATATTTTCTGCTGACAGCAGTGGTTGATCTATCCAGAGACTTATGAGAGCATGTGCCTCGCTTCTGCAAGCTAAATTTATGGATCCTGAGCCCGTGTTGTTTGGTGTTTTGGTCCTTCGTGCCCGTGACGAGCCCCGGTACCTGTGAGAGAAGGCTGCGATGGTGCGGGGTTTGCCCCGGTCCAACCTGCCCCCGGGTTGGGGTCTTGGAGAGCTGCTCCTGCGCCGACGGTCGATGCCAGGCTGCGGAACGGGGTGCTGTGTGCTCCACACGCACTCACCTGGCTCCCGCCAGCTCAGTCCTCGGCGTGCGCCGCAAACTGCTCGGGAGGAGCAGCTCGTTCTGCGTCGGAGGGTCGGCGCCCGGTGCGGGTGACTGGGCGACACACCCTTCCAGAGAGAAGCACGTGGAGAAGGCAGCGTTTCTGCCTGGGGGCAGGTAGCCATTTGGTTTGCTCTTTGAACATTCTCTCTTTTCAAAAGCATGATAGTTGCTCAAAATGCTCAGACTCAACCAGGGTTGGTGTTGGCACCGTGTTGCCACTCGACCTGGGTGTTGGATGTGACTGCCAGCGCAGATTCCGGGTGTAGCATAGGTAGGCGCAGAGAAGTCGCTCGTCCTGCGCGCTGTTCCTGTCGGCGTGATGTAGAAATGGGCAAAGCTTGTGGCAGGAGAGGGGAGATGGAGTTTGGGAAGGCTTTAGGCAGGATTTGGGGAAAGTGTGAAGCTTGATCAACTCCGTAGTTAGTCCTGAAACTAGGACTGGGGTAATGTTGCAGTTCTTAGAGCGCAGTGCCGTGCCTGGGTAAACCACTGACAGCAGTACGTCCTCTGTGGGGACAGACACGGTGTCTGCAGCTGGCAAAAGACACCAGGCTAGGACGCGGCCGCTGCTGGCAGAAGTGTCCGCTCCCGTGTAGCGTGAAGGTGCTGTGGGTCCTCGGTGGCATCTGTGGTGGTTTGGAAGTGATCCTTCCCCGTCATCTTGGCGATGGAGAGCGATTTCCCTTTTTTCACCTTTCTCTGTTACCTGGTAATGTCATTTCTGCCAGGTGTGCAGTGTCAGCGGCACCTGGCTGCCTTCTGGCTCCCGGTGTGGGCGGCAGCAGAGTTCAGAGTACGCAGCTCGGACCAGTGAGCTCGCCCCGTCGGGTGCTGCCCACCAGGAGTTGAAAAGGCGTTGAGGAAGGTGACGTCGTCTCGGCCTTGGCTGTAGCAAAGGCTGGGAAGCTGGCGGCGCTGGGTAGCCAGGTAGCGTGCTGTGGTGGGGCTAAGCCACAGAATATGGGAAAAATGTGGTGAGAGAGTCGGATGCTGGAGGAGAAAGCAGAGATGTCCAAGTGGGAGATTGGGAACAGGTTCTTTGGGTCTGGCAGGGCACGTGGGTTCGTGGCGTGAGGAGAAATGGGTTCTGTTGGGAATGTTGCTGTTGGGAAGAGAGACAGTGAAGCTGGCAGTGGGTTCTAGCAAATGTGGAGGGAATGGGATCATGGAACGTTTCATGGTGTTAAGCAGAGTTCCGTTTTGCGCAGGGGCGGTTAATGGTACTCGTTTACTGGAAAAAGGCTGGTGAAACGTGAGAGTGAAGGTGCAGACTTGCGAGGGGGGGTTACTGGGGAAAGACTTGGTAAAATACCATTTCTTGAAGGTGCCACGCGGAAGGACTTTAGTATTTGAGATCTGGGGCATTTTGTGGTAGTGCAGGTTAGGGACACAGACATGAGGTGGGTCCGAGGTCGGAATCTTGGGAATATGGGATGCCGAAAGCTGGTCACAGGTTTGTGGAGCTGTGGAGAAGGAAACTGTGTTTCTGCTGTGGTAGAAGGGACCGGGATGGAACTTTTCCCAATTTTATTAAATGGCGGCTGTCCTGATACCTTCTGCTTGAATTCTTTTTCTGCGCTTTCTCCTTACAGATCTGATTTTCTCCTTTTGCCTTTCCTCATGTCCTCTTAGGAACAGGGGAAAGGCAGACAGGAGAAGCAAATGGGTGACATTGTGCTGGTGTGATTAATTTCGTGTCACATTTCTGAAGAGGCAGGGATGTATTTCTGGGTTACCAGACCCGTCACCTCCGCTGTTCCTCCATTATCGCATTGCTTACATGAAGGTATCTGGTTTTCAAACTATCTGGGCAAGCTTGATGCCATCTTAGATTTTATTGTGCCAGGAGGGTCTTGAGAGAATGAACTCCACAGATTTTAAGATCAGGGAGGACTGCCGTGACTCAGTCTGGCTGCAAACATTATCTGGTTTTGATTGCAAGACAACTCTTGGATAATTCTTTTGAGCTTGGGTCTCTCCTTCTAGGAGCCTGCAAGAGCTGACTTTCCTGGAGTTGACAGAACCTAACTGGAGAAAAGGAGTTGTCCTTTGGACCTAGAAAAACTGCCTTGAAGAGGAGACTGCAGCGCTCTGAACCGGTGTTCGTGCTGTTGCTGAAGGCAGAGTGCTTTTACAAGGTGGTTTTTGGACCCGGTTTGCCATCAAGGTGCCAAACCTATCTGTCCGTGGGAGAGGCTGATAAGAAGTGGGATTGTTGGTGTGGTCATGGGATCGGTGGTTCACGGAGATCTGCTGTTGGTCAGGTGTCAACAGCAGCGTGAGCCTGACACGAGTCTTACCTGCTCCTTTGTTCAGACTGTTCTGGACAGCTTTATTCAACTGAATGATTTTGTTATCCATTTCATGCTGCTGCTTCGGGAGGCTGAAGAGCAGAGGGGAGACCTTGGGAGTTCTTTGCAGACCCAAGACAATACCACCACAGACTCCTGTTTGGAAGGTTGCGGTTTCAATGATTCTCATTTTCCACCGAGTTTATTTCTGAGAGTTGGGTTATGCCCTTCTTGTGTCCGGTTTCTGATTTTGAAGGAATACTGCCCTGTGCAGGGAGACGGATGCGTTCTGAAGCAGGCTGTCCACCTGCTTAGTCTGATGGTGGGCTTATCTTATGGCGTTTTACTTGAGGTGAATGGCAAATAGAGTGTGTACGAGATGGAACGGGAGAATAATTTGGGGCCAAGGTAGAGTCTGGCTGCAGGTTGCCAGCTGGATAGTCGTGTCTTCGAGTGTTAACAGCAGCCCTAGAAAAATGAAGTTATGGAGTCTGGTTTTGCAGAGAAGTGGTCCTCTGCCCTTGTGCCTTCTGGAACAACCAAAGGGCAAAGCAGGTTTTTTTTTAATTAAGCTAAGTGTAGGGAGAGTCCAGCATGTTCCACGGTGTTAGAGAATTGCATGCCAGAGCTTGCGTTCGCGGGGTGGGAGAGGTCTTGCCGTGTTGTGAAGAAGTTCCCCCGGGGTCCTCCCGCGCGTCCAGGGGGGTGGAACGGTGGCTCTCCCGTGTTCTGGCCAAAGCCCTGGGAGGGGGCAGTTGATTGGCACATCTTTGACTCATAGAATGCTTTGGGTATTCTTTGCACACGTGTGCGTGAGTTGTCAGTAAATCTTTATTTTTAGTGTTCTGAAAATGGATGAGCGTGGATGCACACAACAAATTAATTTCCAGTATCGAGAAGCAAGAGCTCCGGCAGCGTTCCTCCTCTTACAAGTTGTGTCACAGATTTCTCTGTCTGTTAGCAGTGTGCTGTTAAATTCCAGCCTTGCCTGCTGCAGATTAAGCAGCGCTTTGATTGTGCTCCAGAAGGAAAAGGAGGGCTTTTTGCTCACTGAGGAGGTTGTGCAGCATCCAGATTCATATCAACTCAGCTTACAAATTAGAAGTTACAAGTTTCAGTATTTTAGAACGTATGGCATCCAGGCACATGTCCAACTGAAGTGTCTTACCAGGCATAGAAATGTATCCTCACCCTAAGTCGTGACTTAATGCTGCACCGGGGCTTTACTGGGTGATTGCAAGGTGTGAAGAAAGGTGCTGGGCAGAGGGACAGACTTGTCCTTGTGCGTGGTCAGCGTGGTGTGGGTTTTTTTGGCATGGCAAGGGTGGGTTCAGCATTTGTGTCCCTGCTGGGTTACACTGAGTGATGAATGCCGTGGTCACCAGGCTTCGGTTAATGTCCAAAACACTGGTGGGGGGCATTAAACTCTCAGTCAATACATTTACATCCCCTGCCATGTCTGGGAGCACTGCCTGTCTGGCTGTAGCTGTGCAAACCCAGCACTCGGGGCCCTGTGTTAGGGCACCCAGTGCAAAACAGATACTGATTTCTGGAGTTTAATAGCTGGTTTTTGCCATCTGATTTTTGGAACGGTTGTAGCTAGGTTTGCCTTGTGTTAATAATGATGAATTTTTAGAAAATTGTGTTAGAACTTATATTTTCTGGCAGGGGTTTGCACCGGGTGTCTCTTGCTGAGCCTTCTGGATGCCAGCCGAACGATGAAGATGGTTTGCAGTGCGTTGCCTGCTTGATGGGAGCAGCTGATGGCGGGGATTTCCTGGAGAAGCGGTTACATGCCATGAATGCCGGTTTATCCTTTGGCTCTAGTAACTGTTCCTGCCTCTAGGAATTGCGGGATCAGCTCCGTTAAAAACATGTCACTTTTACAGATGGCAGGTACAGTTCAGCTGGCGGAGTTCTAGCTAAGCCGCGCTCTGTACATGAACCGTAGGAGTCAAATCAGCTGAACGACTGGCCTGCCAGTACTCTCTGCCTACTAATTAATGAGGAAAACAACTGTGTCACTTAGCAGTAATTAGGAAAGTAGAACTTTCCAGAGGACGCTGCTGGCTGACCTGATGTCAGCGGTGAAGAGCCTGTGGTGGTGCTGGAGCATTCCCCTTCGTCAGCCTTCAGGAGGAGTCACCCGGTGTTGCCGGGATCTCGGAAACAGTAGTTTTGGTGATGGACTGCTTGGAAAATACTGTCCAGAGCTCCAGCAGTAGGAGCTTTAGTTTTGTTAATGCTCTTAGAAGAAAAAGAACCACTTCCCGTTGAGGTCCTTGCAAGTGCTCTTAGTTGGTTTTAGGTCAGACCTAGAGAAGTGCCTGCAAAAAAACCCCGCTGGCTTTCCTGCGCTTCCTGCTCAGCCTGGGCAGGGAGGAGACCCCAGCAGAGGAGCGTTGCCACTGGTTTCTGGGTTGGGGGGTGCGTGCTGGCAGGTTGGTTTGGCAATTCCTGGTTATGTTTGTAGCCATTT